AATACATTCATCATATTATTTTTTAACCTTAACCTAAATTGTCAGCCTGCTTTCTTTTTCTATTACCTAACAAATACCAAATCTTAATTTTTCTCAATTTAATCTAAAAATCTTTTCTCAAATTACCAATTTTTTTCTTTTAGTCTACTTCTATTACCTATATCACTATTACTTATTTCTTTCTTATATAGAAATATTTAATAACACCTTTTTTTCTTACTAAATATAAATTTCTAATTCTTACCCTATTATTAAAATATATTTTTATCAACTCAGTGGATACTAACTTTATCCACAAGAGATACCTTAAGGTCTCTTAAATTAAACGGGCTCTGATAGTAGGGTAAATTACTGTTAGTGAATATTTGCTTATTCACGAGAGGTACCGTAATTCCTCTTAAATTAAACGGACCCTGACAGTATGGTAAATAACTGCCAAACAGTGAATGCAAAATCACTTCACTGGAGACGCCCTCTTTGGGGTGGTGGAGTGTCCACTTAATTGTGGGATGTCTCCCCAGTGTATAATAGGATAGGATACAAACAGATGATCCTACCAACAGTCTTAATTTATTTTTAAATAGTATTTTTTTTATAAAAACATTTTATAAATTTTTAAAATCAAAATATAATTATAACCTTGATCATAGTACAAAAAAAGCATAAAAATCATTAAGCATTATAAAAAATAAATTGTTAGAATTTACTTAGTATGATATTTTTTTATAATTTAAATAAATTTATATTATTTTAAGCATCCTACGTATTTTTAAGGTTATCCATTATGTCGGGCTGCACAATATACCCTTTTATCACTGATGAATATTTTGTCTAACTAACTGAAAAATATACAAAGTACATTTTTAATATTTAATTAAATTAATACATTTTTTAAGGATCCTTCATTTTCCATCATTTTTGACGGGCTTTCTACTAGTTTACCATTATGTGGCTAGCTACATCGTTGGATTTTTACTATCCGAGGAAAAAATTTGAACAGTTTTATTGAAATGTTCTTATACTTGTTGAAATAGCGAAGGATTGAGGGAAATGTTTTATTATTTCCTTTATTAGATGCATCTGTTAGAATTGCATATGGATGCCCATCTTTCAAATCATCTAGAATTGACCTCTAGGATTCAGTACTAAAACACTTGTGATAGCCTTGCTCATTTTTGTTCTGCCACAAGTAAGGTTTGCACTTATATTGGAGACGTTAAATATCATGAGAAAAAGATTTGACCCACATTGTGATGATATAGCTCTGTGAATGTTAAACTACATGATAGATGTATACGAATTCCTAAAATGTAGTTGGATCTGTATTATTTATTATTTTTGAGAATATTTTTGTAATGCAATCGATGTTGATATACTCCCCTGTACTGACTTATATGAATGAAATGATGTTGATTTATTATTGGATAAAAATAAAACAGGATAGAAAGAAATTTACAAACTAGACTTGTTTTTCGATAAAATACTTTTTAAAAAAATTGCAAGAGAAATTAAAAAATTGCGGTTGAATTTTGCGGGAAATTTCTAATTGCGGTAGAATTTTGCGGGATATTTATAATTTCGGTAGTTTTGCGGTAGAGAGATGTCTGCATGTAAACTAAAAAATTGCAGGAATCTCCCGCTGATGGGGGAAGACAAGGCAACCCTAGGTAAGAGAATCAATACATAAGAAATTCCAGGTTAGGAATTCCCCCTTCTTCCAAGGGATCACGGTGGTACCATCGGGACGCTTACCATCTGAATTGTAAAGGTCAGTAGGCTCGAGGGTTGACGGGATGAAGCAGATTTCAAGGCTCTGGCAATAGTATCTTTGCATTTTAAATGTCTGCTAAATATGCCTCTACAATGTTTGAGTGCAAAGAGTGATGGCCTATGGAGTTTACCGATGTTTAACAGAGAATACAGTGGTGGGATATAACCATATCACAATTGAGTCTAAGACCAATGGCGTGACGTACACATCGTTGCTTAGGAGTGGTCAAGATTTAACCATGGGAAAGCCTCGAGATATTTATAGCACCTGGGAAATGGAGAACAGTAGAAAATGGTACTTGGGTTGGCTACTTGATTTAAGGTATGCAACTGAGTTGCAAACTAAAGGCTTATCCCAGTCCTTCTCTAGTGCCGATAAGGGAAGATCAATTAATGAGAGAGATCAATTGCCTGCAGAAGCAAAGGGTCAGTGTTTTGTGAGTGTGTGTATGATGGGCTCGCATGACAAGCGAGAGGATATGAACGCACTAACGGAAAGTAGGGAGGGTGACCTTATGCCAATGCCACAGGATTTGGTTGGTAAGGTAGCTGTAATAAAGATATGTCTCCAAATTTAAGATTGAGTATGTCTACTGTGAGTTTAATCTCGAGCTCATGTGCAGAGGTTGACATCGTAATAAAAAATTCGTGACGATCGGAGTTTATATAAAATTCTCAGAATTAGAAGGTAGTTCATCAATAGGAAGAAAGTTTGGTGGGATGAAGGGCGCGATAGAGCATCGTGTAAAGGTTTAACCATATTACGTATTATAATATCTAAGATCTAGCCAATATTTTTCGAAATTTTGATTTCGTTGATTTATCAGAAAAACGTCTAAAATGAGATTTTGCCCAAAAGAACATTTCAAGGTTGTATAAAAGAGGGCTAAATATTCCGCCATTGTGAGATCTCTAGGCTTAGGCAATATTCCTATGAAATATCGGCAAGGAACTTGATGAAGGACTTTTCTTCACCTATTTAGATTCGAGATGTTTCAAAGAGTTCAATGATGAATGATTGAACATAAGATCGTGGGTCTATAATCCCTAGGGATATTCGCTCTTATCTTATCTCGATCGAGGAATAGCTGGCATAGCACTTCTTTTATAACAATAAGTTCTAAATTATTGTAGACACAATGTGTTTGGTTTAACGCAACAAAAAATTATTATTATTTAATTCAAAAAATCAAGATAACAATAATAAATCTATATTAAATGAGCAAGATTAAGAGTGGAATTCCCAAACTGCTCTCGCTGAATTTTATTATCTTGATTTATTTACTTGAGGTGAGCCTCCTAGTATGCCATCGTCGATATACCAATTATGAAGATTAAGCATGCATTGGTCATTTATGTCTCGTATCACTAGTATGCCATCGTCGATATACCAATTATGAAGATTAAGCATGCATTGGTCATTTATGTCTCGTATCAGGCCATTAATGCCCAGAACAAAAAGGAAGATAGATCAACTTGTCCATCGCTAGAAGGGATCAATCTCCAAATTGGATGTGAGAGGGACCAAAGATAAATTGCGAATATTTCGGTGGAGGGTGAGGATAGGATTTTAAAACACGCTACGCCCTAGAAAGTTAAAGTTTCTATTTAAAATATTCGGGTTCAGGCCGGGCCGGGCCTAATATTTAAAAAAAAAATTTGGGCCGGGTCGGGTAGAGTCGGACTTTGAAATTTTTTTTAAATATATCTAAATTTATTAATTTTATATTGAACTTTTTATGTAAAATAAAAATATTTGATTTTATTTATTGAAACTAAACGACATATAACATATGTCTTTTATTTTGTGTAATTATAAAAATTAATTTCTATATTTAAATAAATTGTGGCCGAGCCAGGTCGGTAAATTTTTTTAAAAAAAATTTCGGGCCGGGCGGGCAAAACTTTTTTAAAAAATTTCGGGCTGGGTCGGGCTTGAATAACTAGGCCCGATGCAGATCACTAGTATCTATCCAGTGTTTTACAGAAGAATAATTATTTATCAAGGAAATCAAGCCTTTTAACAGGTGTCTCGCCACTTGAAGCATTGCCCTCTTAGATATTTATGAAATGAAGAATGATTTTGGTGTGGTTAAAAATTTCTACATCTGTAAAGTAGGTTGTATGAAAACTGGAAACTTCTGCGCCAGTGGAGGTAGAGACTGTTGCACTAGTAAGCATCAGCTAATAAGGTAGGAATGGTGACTATGTTTAATTGTATTGAGGGCAAGAGCAGAAAAGGTATTAAGTGTTAGAGGAATTGCCTGTGATAAGAAGGATGGTCCAGATTGAGGACACTTGATTTTCTAAGATGTCAATAGCCCCAATTTGGTTACTTTAATAAGTTTATTGCACAATGGGCAGTTATATTTGATAGGTGTTGTGCTGAGATCTGGTAGGCTCATGAATGGGAAATTTTTCTCAGATTTAGGATGAAGATGAAAATCATTAATGTCAAAATTCACGGTTGTATTTATGGATAAATAACTGTATTGCACTGTAAATTAATTAAAGTAGAATTTTAAATTATATGTATTTCAAATCAATACCCATCTAAGTAGAATGTGATAAAGATTAACCTATCAATTGTAGGGTCCAGTTACTAATAAATTTAAAACTCTCTAGTAATATAGTTCTATCAATATTATATAGCCAATCCCAATATCAATAAGCACAATCTATTCTTAAGAGTCTATTATTTGAGATCATGATATGAAAGTTTATATTACAAAGATGATTTTATACAGCATTATTATATGTTGGGATTTACGATAAATAGGGAGGAATACTGATGGTAAGGTGAGTAGAACCAGAGTGCGTATACTTGAACACCTATATGCAATAGGGCAGAATAATACGTCCCAGGGAGGACAAAGGCCTTTATTTAAAATTCGAGTTTGTGAATAATTTGGATGATTGTGTAATTTAGAAGCTCAAATTTATTTTGAAATGATTAATATGAATATGATATTAGATTAAAGTAAATAGAATGTTGTAGTTTTTAACTGATTAATATATATTTAAAGCTAAATTAATTATCAAATTTAGAAATAAACAGCTGTTGGAAAGCTTTTCTTAAATAATTATATATTTATAATTATTTTTAATTAGCTACTAATTATTTAGTAGGTTAAGAAATTCGTAAACAGGAACATTAAAATATGTATTTTTTAATAAAAATTATATATTATATAAATAAAAACATTTTATTCATTACTTGTTTTTTTTTTCAAATTCCAATTTTTTTATTTTAAAACGAGTTTCTTCAAATCACATGCTAATCATTTTCTATTTTCATTCCGCTAATTAATGCCTCCCCCAAAAGGAGATCCAAATGCTATAACTGTTGGTAAATAATTATTTTACATGCATATTAAATAACTTAAATTATTTACAGTATGCTTGAGAGCAGTTGGGGGTGAAGTTGGTGCTACTTCCTCCTTGGCTCCTAAAGTTGGACCTTTAGGATTGGTATTATTTTTATCTTATTCTATAAATGTAAATCAACTATAGTCTCCTAAAAAAATCGGAGATGATATAGCAAAAGCCTCACAAGATTGGAAAGGTCTAAAAATTACAGTCCAGCTTACCATCCAAAATAGACAGGCAACTATTGCAGTGGTTCCATCAACTGCCTCAATGATAATCAAAGCTTTAAAAGAACCACCAAGAGATCGAAAAAAAGTCAAAAATGGTAACTATTTAAGATTAATTATAAGATATACCTATAAATTAACAGTAAAACATAATGGGGATATAACAATGGATGACATATTTGAAATTGCTAGATGTATGAGGCCTCGGTCAATTGCGAAATCTTTAGAAGGTACAGTTAAAGAAGTTTTGGGTACTGCACAATCTGTTGGATGTACTATTGAGGGTTCTAATCCACATGATATTATTGTCAAGATTAAGAATGGTGAGTTAGAAATTCCGTTAGAATAAAATTCATATAAATGGGCGATTTTTATAATATTTATTATAAATGATAATAAACATATGTTACATGATTTTGTAATGTGTTTTTATATGAAGTGAGAAAAGATAATTATCTTATAAATTTAAAAAATAAAAACTTGTTACGGGTTTAATATTTGTAGCGTGATCCAAATTTAAATCATTTCAACTTTTGATTTAAATCATTAAATTATATAATTTTTGAGTGTGGTTAATATTTAAATATATTACCCTTATTAGAAACACCAGATTAAATTTATATCATATTCAGCATAGCTTTTTGCAAAAGAAATTCTTATCTGTGATAATTGGTAAATAATCTGTATATGCTGTGGCTCTTTTCTGTATATTTCAATAAGATTGCTTATAACATCTTCATCCATTATTTTTCTAAGAGTGTGAAATATTAGGTGCCCCCCCCCCATAAATAATTTATTATACATCTTTATACAACTTATAGCCATATTGCTATATTATATTTTTTTTAAATCTGTGTTTTCACTTATTTTTTTAAAAAATGAATTATATTCATTATTTTTGAGGAGGGTGTAGGAAAGAACTATTTAATTTGCTATAAGTGAAATTTACCTATTAGCCCTCTTGGCTATATGCCTGACTTATAGTCTATGAGATCAATTTTTTTATACCTATCTGTTTTTTTTAATTCTCTTTATTATTACCTAGTTGGAATTCTTGTCACTAAGCATTTTTCAAAGTGTGGGAGGGCACTACTTTAAAGTATGAAAACTTAGAATAAATATTTACTGATTTGTAAAATTTTTCAGTTTGATTTATAACAAACCTGTAGTCCTTTGGAAAAATCTGGACTTGGCTTATTTAAAAAGATTAATATCTGGGCTATTTTTTTAAATTATGTCAATCATCCTTAAAATCTTATAATTGAATACTTTTTTATTCAATCCTTATCAAGGTGGTAAGTAAAATTAAGAACTCAGGTGTTTTTATGTGAACTACTTATTTTTTAAAAATATTTTTATAATATTCATTATCTTTGTATGATGATTTTGCTGTTTATTATCTATATTTCATTTACAAATCTCTCCTGTAGTTAGTTTGTTTAGTTTATGTGGGCCTGTTTTCTTAAAAAAACTACCACAGATTTTAGATACCAACTATATGAAAATTTATTAATAAGATCAGGATTTTTCATGAGAAATAAATTATTGGTATAAATAAATATGCTTCAATGTGAATTCCTCTTTAAATTTTATTTCATATTAAAAATTTGGTTATTGCCACTCAGGGTTATATTATTTTTTTATCAATTTTTTATTTTTGCCTACAAATTTAATTTTTTTATGGTAAAATATAGTAATTATTAATTCCGCAAATTTAAGATATTTTTAGGTATTTTGTATTGGGGATAAAATAGACCCCACCTTTGAAGCTTATGATATTTAACCTTTCTAGTGAAGGGTTAAATCGGAATATAGTACCCATAAATATAGTATTAAAATTTATACATGAAATATAGTATTAAATACCCAATTTTATTCATTAAATTAATACAGTGATTTATAAAATGAATAAAAATGTCAAAACAATTTAACAATTTATATTTTCTAAAATATCTATATTCAAGAAGATATTATTGTGATCCCCATGTCTTTTGTAGTTTCTTTTAGGTCCCGCCACATCCTCTCAACTTTTTGGGTGTGGATGGATCTGTCATTAGGATCACCAAAATTTTGCGAATGATTGACCCGATAATGGAAATAATTGGCTTGTTTTAGCCTGTTATATCTAAGATAAATAGATTTAAATTTATTACCACATTTGATTTACAGGAAAAATATTTTGCATACCCTCACCATGAGTCAGTCATTATCGTTGTATCTTGCATTACATTATCTTTAACCACATGCAGTGTGGTATCAAATATTATAAATAAAAATTTGTAGAAAAAAACTTTTTTAAATATCTTAAATAAAAAATTAAATTTGTAGGCAAAATTCTCCTAAAAATAACTTAAATATGCGGAATTAATAATTCCTATATTTTACCACAAAAAAAATTAAATTTGCAGGCAAAATTCTCCTAAAAATAACTTAAATATTTTACCACAAATAAATTAAATTTTTATGCAAAATTCTCCTAAAAATGACTTAAATATTTTACCACAAAAAATTAAATTTATAGGCAAAATTCTCCTAAATATAATTTAAATATGCGGAATTAATAATTCCTATATTTTACCACAAAATAAATTAAATTTATAGGCAAAATTCTCCTAAAAATTTTTTCACAAAAAAAAAAATTAAATTTGTAGGCAAAAATAAAAAATTAATAAAAAAATAATATACCTCCCGAGAGTGGCAGTAACCAAAAATTTTGAGTTATAAAAACATAATCAAAAGTAATTCCATTCTAGCTACTAATAAATCAAAATTACTAATGGTTTTATGTTTATAAGTAAGGTATCCATGGGTGTATTGTTAGGGATATAGATCCTCTCACAAATTTATAGTCCACTTTCCAAATTTTAGTAGGCACCGTAGAGTTTTGCATAAGCGCATTATTTCTGGGCATGAAAATTTTTTTAAAAAAATCCGGGCTGTATATTTTATAACAATTGCCATTATTAACTATAATCAATTTTAAAAAATTCAGGCTGGGCTGAAAAATTAAAAAATATTCTAGGCTTGTACAAATGGTCTGAATAATACTTTTATTTAAGGTGGCAATATGTGAATACATATAAATAACTTTTATTTCTTAGATATTATACCAAGTTCAAATAAAATAAAAAAATTTTAGTCAGCCTTGGGTTGGATCTAAAAATGCCTGCTCAGGGAAAAATTCACTTTGTAGACCTCTAAGACTGAGCCATTTGCATAAAAATTTTAAATATTTTTCAAAAGTGTTATCGCTTTTCTCTTTATTTTTTATAGACTGAGCCCTTTGCATAAAAGTTTATTTTTCAAAAGTGTTATCCCTTTTCTCTTTATTTTTTATAGCTACTTCAAAGATAGAGAATAAAAATGTTAATTTTTCATATTTCTATCTTTTTATAGTTTATTAACTAAAATAAAAAATTTTGATTTCTCTCATTTAATAACATGGATATTTAAAAAAAAAATTCAGTATAATAAAAGGTGAAAGATTAATTTTTTGAAAATATTAATCATTAAATATTTTTTTAAAAGGTGGTTAATAAAGTTGATACTGATTGGAAAAGAAAATGCGATAACAATTGGTGTTACAGGCTTTAAAATTTTTACATTATTTCAGTGGTGCCTTACTCCACAGGATTGGTAAGATTCTCTGCCCATTTAAATAATCTATAAATTAAATATTATTCACTCATCAATTTTTTTTTAAAAAAATTTACAACCCCCAAACGAATTTAACTTGCTCCCTCTTCTGCATTATTTAATGTATATATAGGGGTTTGTCACCAGTAATGGTGACAAATGGCTCCACTTTTAGCAGGTTTTGAGCTTACTTTAAAAAGGCTAAACCAAATTTTTATTCAGAAACTATTATCTCAGCCTGAATTGAAGTTAAAATTTAGAATCGCTCAATCTTCAAAAAATATACTCTGCCCTGAAGGTTTAGAAATATTTTTTGACTGTTAGGATTGAGCCATTTTACAACTACAGTATACAGAAAAGAAATAGTCCAATTTTAACATTTTAAATATAAATATGACATTTTCAAATAGGTAGGTTGTTACATGTAAAGATTAATCATCAATATCATCTTGCCAATGATCAATATTATTGATTGACTGATTTTTTTAAAGTGTTAATAATAATTATTAATTATCATTTAATATAGGTTAATATTAAGAGATGTTGCTCAATTCACAAATTAAAATTATTTTAAAAAGACCTAAAAATAGTAAGATTGGAAATAAACTAATTTATGATTTCTAAAACATGCAGTCCCATCTTATGAAAAGCTTTTTTAAAAAAACTTTTTTTATTATAATAATTCTTTCAATATATTCTTTATTCGAAAAAAAACCTTTTTTTTTTATTTTAATAATTCTTTCCAATATATTCTTTATTCAAAAAAATGGCCTAAGAATATAGATGCGCTATTTTGCGAAAAGTATATTAAAAGATTCAATAATAAATATGAAACATTAGCGTTGACAATATATTATGAAGAAATTCCTGATGAAAAATTTAAATTATTCCTTAACTACATGGATACTCTAACTTGCAATACTGCTGAGAGTGTATGGCTTCAATTTTATAAATTTGATCGTGGTAGATAACCGAACGAGTTTGAGAGTAAATAATTTGTCAAATTTAATGTTCATAAATATTAATAAACCTTCGATATCGGAATTGATTACATAGCTATATTAAAATATGGAAAAGAAATCATTTTTAAAAAATTCACTCCAAAGAAAACGAGGAAATGAAAGTATGGGAATTGTTTTATTTCATATTTATATATTTTTTAATTTGTATAGAATATATTGAAAGTTTAGAATTTAGAACATTATTTTTATATTATAAGTAAGATTTATTCATATTCGTAATGGATTAAAAACGATCTTATATATATAATATTTTAAAGGGCTGTGAACTGAACCCTGAGTTAGAACCCTTCGAACCCTAATATTTTACTGAACCACGAATCTTTTAAAGGCAGATTTATATAAAACAATTTAAAAAAGTTAAATGCTAAAATTCGACGATATGCATGACAACTATCATTTGTAACTTTTTTTATTTATCCTGCTCACATAAAATAGAATATTATGTATGAAACATTTAGAGAATTTCTAGATAATTTTGATGAGGCGATAAATCTACCGATGAAAGTTGTGAGAATGAACTTAAAAGATTCATCGTTCATAAAACAAATAAAATTATTTGAAGTTTACGGAAGCAGGAATATTCATTTCGTTTTTTTTTGAGAAAATTTGCTAGTAAAATTTTATTAGCCAAGTCTGGCTTCCCGTGAAAGATTTTTTTTTAATAGGTAATCGCTTATTAGAGGATATACGAACCAAAATTTTAAATAATATGGAGATTCTTTATTTTTTAAAATAAAAATTTTGATTTGTAAATGGTAGCTAGTTTGTTTGTTATTAATATGGAATTTAAATATAAAAAAACTATGATTGAATAAATT